CTAGCTACGTCGAGTATGAAACATAGGTCGCAGCAGGGGGTTAGAATCACTGCATCTGCATCTCTAATCTGACTCTGATCTTACCCGTCCACAGATAAAGGTTGTCTCGTCGACTGCTGGGCGGAACCGTACCGCATCCACATATCCAAACACCAAGATATTTGAGGGAAGTACTATTAGCTAGAGGTACGCGTTTACAACTACAGAGCCAGGTGCCTCAATCTCGGTTCAGGTGCCCTCGCAAACCATGGTAGAGAGAGACCCTTGCGAAAAGAATTTTTGTGTCTGCCTCCGCGATACGGCCTTTTCACGGAGGACTTCTTGCCTCCCCATAACCCCTCTCCTTTTCCCAATCGTACAGAACAAACAGATCACCTCCTTTACCCCCTAGGGAATAGAAAGAAAGACGTGGGAGCCCGGTCGTGATGCATCTCTGTCACCGCGAGCGTAATACTGCCAAGCAGTTCTTTTTTTCTTTCTTTTTTTTTTTTACACGACCCAAACTGATCCTAGGCTAGCAAGTCCGGCTTGATGCACGGACTGACCGCGTGGTTGATCACCTCGGGTCGTCAAGTTCATTCATGAACGCGATGTTTACCGCATCATAGCCTGGCCCTGACCCATACCCTGCAACTTGCTAGCCAGCTTGGGGTACTTCTCCTGGACCTGGATCTGTGTCCGGGTAGCCTCGGCATATGAAAGAGCGTTGACCAGCTCGCCCTCAGTGCGGGCCAGCTCGGCGGCACGCTCGAAGTACTTGAGGGCCTCGGTCACCTTGCCCTGCTGGAGGAGCAGTTGAGCCATGGTGGCGACGGCAATATCGCACTCGGGGTCAACTAGTTTCATATATGTTAGCAAGAAGCGCTTACTGGAGGGCTGGGGATGGAACGTAAGAGGTGACGTACTGATAAGAGCCTTCTCGCAGAGCTTCTCAGCCTCGGAGAAGTCCTGCTTCCATTGGAACACGGCGAGGGACTTGTTAATGAGCGGTAGCACGTTCATGCACGTGGGCTTGGTCTCGCGCTCGAGTTCAATGGCCATGTCGAACTTCTCAATGGCCTCGTGGTGCTTATCTTGATCGAGGAGCAGCTCGCCGTAGTAGTTGTAGACGTCAGGAGTCTTCTCAAAGTTCTTCATGCAGCGGCGGAAAGTGGCCATGGATGAGGCAATCGAGCCCGTCTTGTACTGAGTCACGCCGAGTTGGATGTGGGAGAAGATAAAGTCGGGGTCAAGATCGATCGACTTTTGGTAGTCCTTCTGTGCCTCGGAAAACTCGCCCTTGATGAAGTGCAGCTGAGCCCGGTGGTAGTAGATGTCAGGGTCCTCTGGGTTCTTGGACAGGGCGGCGGCAAAATCCTCCTCGGCCTTCTCGGGGGAACCTGCGATAGTTAGTTATGAATTATGGGCCACATGGACGGCCAAACTTACCAAGCTCCAGGTTCATGCTCGCCCGTTTGATGTAGCTCTGGGTCATCTCAGGGTCCAACTCGATGCTCTTGGACAAATCCGCCAGCGCCTCCTCGTGCTTGCCCTTCAGACAACGGGAAAGGTTCCGCGGAGGTTGTAGGCGTATGCTTCATATTCATCGAGGTCGCCGAGCTCCAAGGCCCTGTCGAACGCCTCAGAAGCCTCTTCGTAACCCGGCCCAGTCTTGCTCTCCAACGCCTTTAACCCTTTCTGCAGCTGACCCGGTCCGGACTCCTCATCCAACTCCTCCGAGTCTTCCAAGCCGTCAGGACGGGGTTTTTGGCGGAAGCTTTGGAGGTAGTTCCCGACAAAGGTAGAGCTCGGGAGCTTTGACGGCTTGGTCTCGAGAATTTCCTTTGCTTTCGTCTCGGCGAATTTCTTGAGCAGCCGCTCGACGGCCTGTGCGCTCTGTTCGTTCCGGAAGCCGTCGATGATACAGCTGGCGGTGAAGTCGAGAAGCGCCTCGCTGTACCTACCCAAGTGGTCGTAGGCATTAGCACGGCGGTTGAGGGCCTTGATGTACTCGGGGTTGAGGTTGATAGCCGCGGTAGTGTCCTCGACGACTTTGTCCCAGTCGCTGAGGGCGTTGTAGCAGGCCGCTCGATTGGAGTAGTAGACCGGGTCGGGCTTGCAGAGTATGGCCTTCGAATAAAGCCCAATGGCCTTTTCGAAATCCTTGGCGCCGTAGGCCCTGTTGCCAGCCTCCTTCAACTTTTGAGAATACTGCTCGCGCTCGGTGTCGGAGAGACCGAGAACAAAGGCCTCGTCGATCTCGGGTAACTCGTCGGCGGATTCAACAGAAGCAGCTTTGCCAGCGGCCGCGGGAGATGTGGCGTCCTTTGCGACCTTCTCGACATCGACATCCTTTCCAGCCTGCTTCCGTTTCCGTCTCTCTTTCTTGCTGAGCTTGGGGGTTGTGTCCTGTTGGCGAAGCTGGGTATTAGTATGAGGAGGGGTTTGGGCTCGGCAGTGATCGCATGGCATGGGGGGGGGCAAGAAAACTCACCTGGCTAGGGGCGTTGCGGACATAGTAGACAGCACCGGCAGTTGTGACTACAAAGGCGACACCGGCAACGGTATAAACCACAGCCTTGTTCTCGGAGACCCATGTCGAGATGCGATCCCACAGTGACGAGTCGGCTGGTATTGGTGTCGAGGACGACCCCACGCGGCCTGTCGGGATAGTAGCCATGGTTCCGTTAGTTGTGAAAGATGGATATGGAATTGAGGGCGAAAGAGGAAAGCGAAATCCCACGACGCTAATGCCTATGGCAGTGGGGAGGGCAAATGGTTGTCAAGCGACGCGAAGTTTGGTTGGGTAGGTCCAATTCAACAATGATGATGCAGGTGCGCACCATAGAAAGCTGGACGGCCTGGCGGGCGTCCTCGGCCGAAGCTTGTAACCCAAAAAAAAATCGGCGCACGACCCAGTGCGCCCAATTACGTCGTCTCTTCAGTGTAGGAGGTGGACCGTGACACTGTTTTTCCGAACAGCCCGCCTACATCCAGGTCCATACCCGGGCTCCTCTTGGGCGAAAAAAACCGGTATATCAAAACTACCTCGTACACGGAGGTGTCTTGATGGAGTCGGGTACTTTTGGGTCAAATCAAACCCGGTTTAGATGAACCCAAGTGAAATCCAGCCTCTGGCTATTTCTCCCTCTATTCCTACAATATCACATATTTAACTTGTCTAGTAACTAGTTTGTACATGGTTTGTTCGAGAGTCGTACGTTGGTGAAAGTGACTTGCAGACGGGCCCACTGAAAGCCAGTTTTTGGCATATTCGTTTTTTTGGCCAGAAGAGCCGGGCCCTGCCTTGGGTGCCTCGCTTGGCACAGGCTTGTGGCTCTGGCCATGTGGACCCTAGCGAGTCTGGCTCGAGCCTGGCCACCAAACAACCTGCCAAACGCCCCGAATGAAACATGTTGATAAGGACGGGGGCAGTGCGGGCCAAGGACACCTAGCTGGGCGAGGGGCACTTCATGGCGTGCCGAGAACCATATGTAGGCACAAAGTATGTATGTACATACAATTTAGCACTCCGAAGCTTTAGCAAGTAGTGTACTTAAAACACATGTACAGCTTCGAGGATAAGCAAGATTCAACAACCATTTATTCGAATATTACTCCAAATTCGTCAATTTCTTTTCAGACGGCCTCCTTAACAAGACAGCTCCCAGTCTCACCAGTCACCGGCGGGCTTGGGGGTTCAGACTTTGGCATTGACAATGGACAACGACTTCCAACTCTTCACTTCCCTCCGCTATGACCCAGCCCTGCTGCAAGTTTCGGTCCGCAAGCTCAGCTACGGTGGCTGGAACTCGGTGAACTCGTCTCCTCTTTACATGCTTGACTATCACCGAGACCGCATGCTACGGGCAGCCACCCATTGGGGTTGGAATGCGGCAGTTGATGTCCTCCAAGGGGATTCCGGTCTGAAACGATTAGTAGAACTTGTCGAAAGCAGCATCCGAGAAGATCAACAGTCTCCATTGAGAGTGAGGATAGCGATCACGAAGGACGGCGAGCTTTCCATAACCAGTGGTCCGGTCCCAGAAACAACTCTCGCCAACCTCTTTCCCGAAAACCTTCCGCCGCCAGAAAGGGCAGGCCACGACGGTGAGGGTCGGGATATACCATCCAAGTCTCCAGGCTACGAGATCTTGGTCGATACACCAATAACAACTCGTTCCGAGCACACTCACTTCAAGACAACCAAGCGGGCGGCCTATGATGGGGCACGGCAAAGGGCACAGATCAGTCTCTTCGACTTGAAAGAGGTCCTCATAGTCAATGAAACCAATGGTGCTGTCATGGAAGGCTCCACCACAACCCCCTACTTTTGGAGAGATGGTAGGTGGGTAACGCCAGCCGTGAGTAAAGAATATAACCTGGAGGATGGAAGTGGTGGCCAAAGCGGTACATCGAGGAGATGGGCTCTCGAGAGGTTTGTTAATATTATCTTTTCGGGCCGCTTGGTAGGTCGTCGTTAACACATGGGACAGGGAGATTGCCTTTGAAGACACCGTTCTAGTGGACTCTCTCGTTGATGGCGAGGAGTGTTGGCTGAGTAACGGGGTGAGGGGTTTTTTCTTTGGTAGAGTCAAGCTGAGTTAACCAGCCCTTGCCGCCGGGAAGGGGGGTGGAGAAGGGGGGGGATGGCCGTCGTCATCGAAAACAATATCCCATAGCCCCTCAACTGCGACTCAAATCAAGCAGCATCTACGGTTGGTGGCATTAGCAGTGCAAGGTACTCGCCGCGTCACCGAATATTTCAGGTTCCAATTCACCGTATGATGTCTTAGCTTGAGGGAAACCAACAGTGTTGTAGGGGAGGAGCGATTCTGGGCAAGGCCACGGCAGCGACATCGAACGTGCCTTCCCAATAAATACCAGCGATTTTATATGTCCTATCATCCCCGTTTACTTTCTCTGGTCACCTGCCTACCTCGCGTTAGTCTGCCGAAGGAGGCGATCCCCGTGCCTTCATCTTTCGCCCCTCGCTACGCTACCCGAGTCGACAGCCCGCTATGCTTTCCAATTGTACCACGATAATTCCCGCCTAAGCAAGGACTCTTCACTCGTTCTGTCCCGATTTTATCTTGCTTTCTTTGCCCACTCAACTTCACATTTCTCCCACATCAGATCGACTACTTGCCAGTGCCAAATTGTTTCTCTCCTTTTCCAGAAACCCCTCGATAACGTTCTCCGCACCTACGTCTCGACACGCTCAGCCTAGCACTCGACGAAACCCCTTCACCGTCACAGGAAAGGCCATTCCCCAGGATGGACGACGCGCTCTTCCAAACTCATGCCGATTTACGGAAGAGGCTGGCTCTCCACAAAATCAAGGCCATCCCAAACAGCAACTATAAACGCCATGGCACCAAATCCTACGTCTCGGTGCTTAATAGATTTGGCTTCCAACCCACACAACCTGGGCCTTACTACCAAAAGTTCATCAAGTCCGACGATATCCCGCCCAAAGCAGCGCCAGGAGTCAGGCCGGGCCGCATATGGGCCGGCCTCTTCAAGAAAGTCGAGGGCAAAAAAGAGGGGGGAGAAGTCACTGCCGAGGACCAGCAGAACGATGCCGAATACCTCTGCGAGGTGACAATCGGCACAGGCGTTGGTTCTGATATACAAAAGGTCATGCTGGATTTCGATACCGGCTCTGCTGACCTTTGGGTATGCTCTCGAGACATTTGCCTGCACCGACACTGATAACGATGTCACGCAGGTTAGCCACAAGAAGTTTGATCACACCAAGTCGTCCTCGTTTCAGCTAGCGAAAGACAAGACCTGGAAGATCCAGTATGGCGATGGAAGTTCGGCGTCGGGCACCGTCGGTACCGATGTTCTTGTGCTCGGCGGCATCATCATCAAGAAGCAGGCCATCGAGATTGCAAACGAGATGTCGGCGCAGTTTAGCGAGGGAACCATGGATGGTCTTCTTGGCCTTGCATTTAGCAAGATCAATACGGTCCAGTCCGGCGGCAAGCCAGATCCCCAGCTCACCCCCGTTGATAACATGATTGCTCAGGAAGATATTCCCAAGGAGGCCGAGCTGTTTACGTCAGCCATCTACAGTAACCGAGACGAGGACCGGCGGTCTTTTTACACCTTCGGCTGGATCGATGAAGATCTTGTTAAGGCGTCGGGCGAGGAGATTGCCTGGACCAATATTGACAAGTCAGAGGGCTTCTGGATGTTCTCTAGCGAGCACGCGAGCGTCAACGGCGAGCGGATTACGATCGAAGGTAACAAGGCAATAGCTGACACGGGCACCACGCTCGCTCTGGTTACAGACAAGGTCTGCGCTGCCCTCTACTCCAAGATCCCCGGTGCCGAGTACAACGCGGAGTACCAGGGCTGGACGATCCCTCAAAGCATCCCGGTCGATGAACTCCCCGACTTCAGTGTCGCCGTCGGCGGCAAGGAATTTGTCATTCAGAAAGAGGACCTGATATTTGTCCCAGCCGATAAAAAATTCTTCTACGGTGGTGTGCAGTCCCGGGGCGAGAACCCCTTTGACATTCTAGGAAACACCTTCCTAAAGTCGATCTACGCGGTAAGCCGGGCAGAGGAGTTCGACCATGATATCTTATGAGGACTGACGGACCATGGTGTAGATTTGGGACCAGGGCAACAGCCGATTCGGTGCTGTCCGCAAGATCGAGCCATTCCAGCACCCAATCAAGTACAACTTGCAACCTTTGTCGTCTGACGAGCGTACGAAGCTGGGGATCAAGAAGGGCTACGGGGACATCAATACGATACCTTTCACAGAGAGTGCCTGAATGAGCGTTGGTGTCCGCCTAGCTTTGGTCTTGAGGGGGGTTGTATAGGTATGGTAGTTTTAAAAGGGGTTGGTCAGTAACTGTTGTTTACGCTGGGTTGAATGCTGAAACTTATATTTCCTACTCTCAACTGCTAGTCGGAGAATACGACGCCCACCTACACAAGCTTTTTTTTTCCACAATGTTCTACACCCAGCAGTGCCGGTCTAATATTTACACTGGGAAATGTCGACCACAAAACGAGAAAACAAACACTCAAAAAGATGAAGCTATTTCCACCCGGAGAATTATCATGCATGACAAGGGTGAGATTCGAACTCACGCCCCATTACTGAGACCAGGAAATCTTGTGGGATCTATAAATTCAGGTGGGCCTGAACCTGGCGCCTTAGACCGCTCGGCCACCTTGCCGTGAAGTGTGTTGTGGATATTTTGAGCTTGTGGAGTGAGGGTTTATCTGTGGTGTGTGTGATGTGGTGTGGTGTTAGTTAGGGGGTGGGGTGGGGTGGCCGGCACAAGGCGGGGTTCGAACGAGGGATTTCATCCCCACTTGCGAGGAGATAAGCTTATAAGATCGCCGCCGGACTGTGTGTAACTGGGGAGGGGGTGGGGGTTCGGGGAGTCAGCAGCGGTGAGTATTGGAAGTGATGAGGTTGGAGGTTGGAAGTTGGAAGCGAGACCAGTAGTTCCGGTCGGGATGGAAGGCGGTTCGTTATGCAACTGATAAGTTACTTGATAGGAGGCTGAGTGGGATTTCAACTCCGAGCTTGGACTGTGTCTCGGGATTGTTAACCCACCGTAAAATGACAAGCTGTCATATCATATTCGGTATATCACGCCTCCTTGGCCCAAGCTCTCAGGAACAAAGTTTGAATAAATGTTGTGCGGCACCTGGGTACACAGCAGAAACGAGACGGCCTAGGCTAGACGCGGAAAACCAATGAATGATGACGTACTGTGAGAAGCTGAGACCACGGCTGGGACTCAGTCGCCCCCTGAGATGGGTTAGGAGGCAACAATCTTCGAAGAGACCTACCTCATCATGCCCATGAGAAGCGGTGACGTCTTGACGTGCCGGAGTGGTCTGGGTTGCGGGGGACGACTGGTGATAACTCAGGTCCTCTCCCAAGCCCGGTCTAGGCGTTCGGTAGCCCCGGCCTTTTCGGAGGGTGACCCCAATAAGACGTGTTCCATGCAAACTAAAGCCATCGTCTCATGATTTATGAAGGTGGCGCCTGCATTTGAGAGGTTCTTGCGATTGGCCAAGGTTATTCCAGCTGGTCATCAGTCGACACGGAATTGACACGGTTTTGTACGCGACAGAACGCTCCGGAAAAGGTGCAATCGTTTTTCGGTTTGCTGTTGTGTAGGCAGCCAAGGCCTCTGTGCGTCATATCGCTCCTGCTCCAGTCCCGGTTCTTCTGACGGCGGGGACGTGGCGTGGCTGGCGTGAAATCTAAGAGACGTCGGGAATGGCGTCCTGTTGGTTGCGTCCGTTACACGTTTATAAATCTTTCACCAAAGAACCGCGGCCTAGATGCAGAGGAATTGTGGCGACCTTGGATGTGATTGCGTCGAGGGGCGGTGGTTGAATGAAGCACGGAAGCGGAGCGAGTCCGCAGCGAGGTGTTGGGAGGAAGCTGTTGAGGACAGGAGTGCCCTGCTGGGCGAGCTCGCATTGACGAAGTCCTCCAGCTTGCGCTAACCGGAAGAGGTCAGGCACTATTCTTACCATGCCACTTTACCGTAGCAGTCAGCCCGAGCCACCCTCCCGGTCTGCTTCCAGGCTCAATTCAACTCCATTCCGTGAGGAGCAGTCTAAAAAAAAGACAACGCCATCTGTCGCGCAGCCTCGTTGCTTCAAAGGCCAGCCCGAGCCACGGCGCACCAATTCGCGTCTCTTGCAAACATCCGTTCTTTTTGGCAAGCACAGAGAAGCAACTTCGCCTCTGGCTGCTCCATTTTGCTCTTTGACCACTCGCATTCCTTCGCTAGGAGCACGGTCGCTCTCGCTGGCTTGGACAGCCCTGCCTGGGATTTGGTTAGGACTTGCGCTACCTGGCAGCCCCGATCAAGGGTCATCCATCCGGACCGAAGCTGCACTTTGCGCCTTTCCATGCTTCCCTCCTCGATCGCGCCTCCACAGTATTCTTCTCAGCTTGCTCTGGCCTCGTGAGCTCTTTCCTCGGGTCCTTACCTGCAACTGCCTCCACGGCTTTCACCATCGGTTGATTCTGCAACCGCAGGACGGTTCGGCTCTAAGCATCTCCAAAGTTTCGCACCGGGACAGAGATAGAGACACCAACCAACCCACAGAGGTCCGACTTCCTCGGCCCGCGACACAAAGTCAGGCTGCCTCAACGTCATCGTAGCTCCCCGCACCACCGCGCGCAGGTGCCACCCGATTCCTTCCCTACGACTCATCGCCGAGTCCAGGACCCGCTTCTACACAATGGTCGCAACGACCACACGGCGCAGGAAGATCATCGGCCAGCGCCGCCGCATCGAGGATGAGGCCGAAGACGAGGGTGGTCCTGAGTCACTGGTCGACCTCGATGATGATTCGGTGACGGATGGCTCGATCGCGAGCGACGAACACGACCCCACCGACGATAGCGATACGAGTAACATCGACGATGCCTCACCAACATTGCCCAGCGCCCGAAAACCCCTCGGCAACGGCAATGCGAAGGCTGGGTTTCGCCGCCGGACCGGTTCTGAGCCACTCAAGAGTCCAGCCGCAAAACCTGTTGTGCCCGTAATAGCCGATGCCGAGTCCATGCTCAGCAAGCTGTCCCTTGCCGACAAGGAAAACAGGGTAGACGAGATGCACTTCGATGATATAAAACCTGCACCGCATGCGAAGGATACGGCGCCGATTGTCGTAAGCTCAAGCGCTGCTGCCCAGCAACAACCCCGGCTTCCTCAACAAGAGATAAAACGGCGTGAACACGAGGAGTACAGACGAAAGAGAGATGAAGACCCAACTTTCGTCCCCAACAGGGGCGCCTTCTTCCTACATGATCACCGGCATGCTGGCCCCGCTGCGAATGGCTTCCGCCCCTTCCCCAGGGGAGCCCGTGGTCGGGGGCGGGGGGCGTTTGGGAATCACTTCGCTCCCATTAGGTATGTCGAACTATCCTTCCCTCACCGTGGGCTGTCTTCGCTGCTGATGCTGACCGCTCCTTCCAGTCAGATACACAACGTTCCAGACCCCGTCATTAATGGGCTGTGGAAACACGACATGCACGAAGTGGTCGCCGCCCCTCAACCCCCTCGGCAGAACCGTTACCTGCCCAGCAACGAAGGGCTCCCAAACGGCAACGGCATCATCCCAACCGCGCCGACGAGCAAGATGTCGATTAATAGGGCCATGTCGACCGAAAAGCACATCGGCAACACGACCATCCGGGTGTCTATCCCGGCCCTCGGGCCTCCCAAGCTCTTCCCGGGCGTTGCCCTGAAGCAGTATACCAAGCTTCCGGATCATCGCCCCCCTCTTCGCCGCGACAAGCCTGTTCGGATTTCGATTCCCTATCATTACCCGCCCGTTATGCCCCGTTACATCTTCCCGGCGATCGACAGGTCCTTTATCTTTATTCCACGGGCGATGCGGCCGAACCAGCAACGGACACGGGGTAAGGGCCCGAGGTCCGTTTTAGGGTCAGGCGTGTTCTCCCGTGCGACGAGCGCATATGGGGGAAGCATGTATTCGCCCAGCATCGCTCTCAGCCGCCGGTCATCGATCGCTCCTGATATTGGCCGGGAATTCATGCTCTCGCCCACGGGATCCACCATCTCGCGCCCCCCTCACCCGACTGACACCGCAAGACCCGTCGTCCGCTTGCCCCCTTTTCGCTCAACCGCCAGTGCCTGCAATGGGTATGCCTCCTAGGCCGGATGTTTACCAGAAGGTCCCTGAGGCGTCCATCAACGAATTGCCCCAGCCCCAAACGCACCCCCTTCCCCTAAAACCCACGTTCCAGGAGAGCCAACCAAACACACTCCCGATGCACCAACCACGACCGCAGAAGGCCGTCTCCCTTGAAAACATCGAGTCGCCCGCCCAGCAGTCCACAAACGCGCCGGGGCCTTATCAACAACCTTTCCATCAGCAGATGCCACCGCCGCCACCCAACGGTTATCCCCAAGATTCCCACGCTCGCCACCCCTCGTACCAGTCCCAGTTCTCGTCCTCTACGCCGCTGTCTCAGATTCCGGAGCGTGCAGTCCACGCGGCTCCCTTCCAGCCCAACACTTATGCCCAACCCAGCTTCTACAACCAGCCATACGCGCCAATGCCACCGCAGCAAGGCTTCTATTATCCCCAGCCATTTAACGCGAACATGGGGCCCAATGCAAACGCCCCCACCTTTGTGCCGGCGACACAACAGCAAGGCCAGCCTGCCCCGTACACACAATCTGCCCAGGGCGAGATGCCCTCTACCCAACCTGCTGCGCAAGGCACATCACAACAGCAGCAAAACATTGTCGACGCGCGGGAGTCGCAAGGCACGGTCTACTATGATTATTATTCACAGCCTCCCCAGATGCCAGGCTACCCACCGTCTTTCCCTACCGGTCCCCAGCCCTATGCTACAGGCCCTGGCATGGTAGGCATGGCGGCCGCGCCAATGATGACACCAAGCCCAGACACATTTTACTACCAGCAGCCGATGGCCTACTATCCTCAGTAGAACTGGGGACAACCGGTCCCGTTCGTATTAGCAGCTGGGGCCTTTGACCCACCCGCCTCCGGCCCCCCCATCCTCCACATGACACCAGAGCCTTCGTCCACTCTATCGAAGTCTCTATCTACGAAACCGGAACCGGAAACCTCTCATGTTGATTAAGTGGGGGATGGGTCGGATGTGAGATAGCCCGGTAGAGGCCGAGGGGAAGAAGGAAGAAGACGAAGGACTGAGAGGGAAAGAGGAGGAGGGAGGATGAGGATGGGTGTGGATATTACGAGCTGTCGAATGATTCTGATCATCAAAGAAACCCGCACTTTGTTACGGACGGCCCCCTGCTTCCCTCTTCTCGCCCACTTACCTGCTGGACACTGTTAGGAAAAGATGATAAGAATCAGTCAGTATCCGCGCTATTTTAATCCAACGTTCGAAGGGGTGGACGAGGCAAGCGTTTTGCCTCTTCAACTCATCCCGCTGTCGAGGCGTTTTTGTTACCTTCAGCCTTGCTGTTGGGGTCCTGGTGGCACCACGGACATCTTGCTGTGTCTGTTCTCTATTTTTGCGGGTGGGGGGGATGACATGAGTCTGGGGAGGAGGGGGGAGAAGAAAAGTTACATGGCGCAACACACACTCTTTTTTTGTGCGGTTTGAGGCGATCTCTGATGGCCGTAGCGGGTTTACGTTTGGGTGAGGGGAGGAAGTGGTCAGGGTATGGTTTTTCGAGAACCCAGTGTGGACATGGACGGACGTGTTTGGTGACACGGTCTTCTACTATAACGATTCTACCTTGTCTGTCCTGTCTTTTCGGGTTGCTTGTCGTTGCTGGTTCTACGTTTCCGCCCGCCCCGCGTTGGTGGGTTCGTCTTTCTCATCCACCGCACCACGGTTGTTGCATCGCTTCTTCCGTTTTCTTGACTTTTTTTTCCCGCTTTTCCTTCACATGGCGCTGATGGAGTTGGACCTCGACGCTTCAAGCTCATGCTCTTGCCTTTTCCATCATCTCCTTTGTCACGTACGGTGTCGTTCTTGGTTGCTTTCATGCATAGCACTAGGCTTGGAAGACGGTATATAGGACAGCGTTTGGCTGGGAGGGCGCTGGCCCGTGGGGGTTTTTAAGATACGTTGTTGGTCTGGGCTAGGCTTTGATGATTCAATCATAGGCGGCGTTGCTTTTTTCCCTCCCATGTCGTTACTTCGTCGCTACTTGGCTTGGCTTGATGTTGCTTGTTTGATGGGATATCAAAAGTGATGTTTTTTTTTTTTATTATTCATTTAGTTAGTTAGTTATTTTATTTTTCTGCTTAATCTTAACTCTGGCTTTTCCAGAGACAATGTCCGAACACAGCCTCATTTTCGGGGTCCCTCGTGACGATGAAGCGAACTGGACAATCTCCGTAGATCTGCCGATGACGACGGCCATGTGCTACGTTCTGCGAAGGATTGGGAAATCTGTCCTAAATCATGTTTCATCGGAATTGGTGAAATGGAAATACGATCTTGACACGTTGATGGGGTGAGTGAGTGTTTTGGCAGGGAAGCTGGCAAGTTCATGCCCTTGATGTTGTTGGGCGGAGTTTCCTGAATTGGCTACATGGCAACGCTATAAATGCCTTGGCTGACCCCATCGTGTGAAGCTTATCATTCAGGGGCACATGTGGCAGTTGGTCAGACAACAAACAACATCCCATCCCGCCTTCACCAGCATACCCTCCACCAACCCTCGTCACCTAAAATATCCTTACGGATTACTTACGAGACACGCCCCCGATGGCCCCATTGATCGTTGACGCCACCAACGGCGGTAACGGGTGTAAGCGGTTGGGGATTACCGTTTTTTCAGGAGGTACGTGCGAGCTGTTTGCAGGGCATCTCAAAAGTCTGGATGCATTAATGACTGACGCATCACTTCCTAAAGGCACCGCAGCAAATAGCTTAGTAGATGTGTTTAATAAGATTGTGGAAAAAGCGACGATGCCAGCTGAATTACGTCATCCCCATTAGCGACAACGGCGGCAGTTCGTCCGAGTTGATCAGATTTGTCGGCGGGCCGAGTGAGTGCATGAGAGTGAGAGATGGTGATGAAAAAGTTGGGTTGGCTGACATGGCGGTGTAGGTGTTGGTGATATCCGGAGTGAGTTTTGGGTTGAGAGTGGTGTGGGACCAAGAGGGTGATCTAACCCCTATTCTAGGTCGCCTAGTCCGGCTTATTCCCAACCATGAGGACGACAAGGAGATGTCGGCACTCAAGCTATTATTTGAGCACCGGTTGGATGTTGACCCCCTGAGGGCTCGATCAGAATGGCTTGACATCGTCGAGTCGAAAGTCGTTGCTTTGGGGGTTCATCTCCAGCCCGACCCCCCCCATGGTCCGCTCCGTCCCAGTAGGGGGGTGAACCTAGAGATTGTAAAGAGAGCTCGGCCGCCCAACGTCTTTGATTTCGCCAGCGCCAGCGTGGGTAACATGTTCCTGGCCGGGTACGTTATCACAGGTTTACCAAGCCTTTTTCTCTCACCTTCTCACACATCCCCACTAGATACTGTACCTCACTAACCCACCTCCCAGCGCCCGCATCTTCACCGGCTCCTTCGAGTCGGCCATTTACCTCCTCTCCATGATCTGCTCCATCCCACCCTCCGTCTCCGTCCTCCCCGCCATCAACTCCAACTTCACGCACCACATCTCAGCCGGCCTGCGTGACGGCAGCACCATCGCAGGCCAAGTCGCCATCAGCCACCCCTCAGCACCGACCGCACTCCCCGACGACATGCAAATCGCGCCCGCGCTCACAGCCGCGGACCACGACCGCATCGAAGACGCCAACCTGCCCGGATCGCTCCCCGCGCTGCGCCAGCCCAACATCGCCTTCTCCAAGCACGACGAGGAGGACCTGCCGGCGCGCATCGAGCGCCTGTGGTACATCAACCCATACGGGCACGAGATCGCGCCCACCGCCAACCCCAAGGTCGTCGACGCCCTCGCGGCCTCCGACACCGTCATCTACAGCATCGGCAGCCTGTACACCAGCATCCTCCCCAGCCTGGTGCTGCGCCGCGTGGGGCAGGCGCTCAGCAGCAGCAGCGCGGAGGAGGGGGGGCAGGCGGGGAGCACGATCCGGCGCAAGGTGCTGATCCTGAACGGCAAGCTGGACAGGGAGACGGGCCCCGCGGCGGACCCGATGACGGCGCGCGATTTTGTGGCGGCGATTGCGCGGGCGTGTGTGGAAAGCCGGTGGCCTGAGCGGGTGGGTCGCGATGAGATGCTGAAGGAGTACGTCACTCACCTGGTGTATCTAGATGATCGGGGGTTGCCGGGTAGTGGTAGTGGTAGCGGTGGAGGGGGCGCAAGTGGCAGGCCGGCGGTGGATGTGGAGGAACTGAGGGGTTTGGGCATTGAGTGCGTCAGGGTGGCTGGGAAGGTCGTGCTTGGGCGAGGAGGGGAACGGAGATCTGAAGTGAGGTATGATGAGACGGCGCTAGGAGAGGCGCTCGAGGCCATCATTGATTCTGAATGATGATGATGATGATGATGATGATGGCGTCGTGTGTTCTAGGCTGTGGAGGATGAGGGGAGATAAGCTGGGTCACGGCTCAGTGATGCGATTCAGGTGTCTCACTAATGCGGGGGCGTTTCTGCTGCTGGTGTTAACGCAATAGCGGTATCATTGAGCGGTAATTATTATGCAATATGGACTGTGTATGGGCATCCTGACCACCGGGTTGTGTCCCGTCCAGTTAGACGAAGGGTTTGTAGATACCTAGGTATGCTCAAGTCATCCGGTATGCAGCGTAAAAGACGGAGTTCGCTGCGATGTTAAGGTACGGTAACGAGTTATCCTCCCACCATAGATCTGCAAAAAAAAAAAAAAAAAAAAAAAAAAGAGCACAAGCAGTCCAGCCAGGTCGGGAAAACCGTTTCATCTGTGGGAGCTCGGATGCTGTCCCACGTTCAGCCCGGCGATCCGAGAATGTTCTGTATGACATCGAGAGCCGGCGCATCAGCACTCTGAGTCCTGAGTGACGCGGACAGGGCGCACGACAGGGCGCCACAGTAGGCTGTAGAACGGGGGCTGAACTTGGTTGCGTGTGCTCCTCCGTCATCTAAAACACAGATGCGATCGATCCCACCCACTGTTTCCCAGGATGCAACCTTCTAGACTCCCTCTGGTCCGTTTCTTCCCGATAGCAAGCGCAGTCATCTGATTGCGCGAGGGTAGGTGACCACGGTAGCGCAGACAACCAACATGGGAATATGTCCAGGCCCGATGCCGCTCTAGGCTCACGCTCACGCTCACGCTCTCGCTCACGGGTGGTCGCGAATGCAATCATGCAATGCAGGACCTTCCCCATCCGTCTCAATCGGGCCATCCGTCCCGCACGCAGCCTGGGTGCGCTTTTCTCCGAGAGCTACCCGCCCGGTCTCCGACCTTCGATAAACCGATGAACCGATGGCCGTGCCAACGCCAAAATCTGAATCAGTGATTTAGGTAGTTAGAGGTTATCTTACGTATAGTTACCTGTGGACATGGAACCGTCTAGACGTTGCCACAAGCTCTGCGGTCGTTTTTCCAGGCGCTAAGGTGTCACAAATACGCCATGCAAACGACAGCCTCGGGACCTGAGTCGAGTTGTTGACGTCTGTCGGTCGAAACAGCGACGTAATCCTGGCCGTCTTTTCCCCTCAGCTCGAGTGAGACCGCCCGGCGCGCCCCGATTGATGGCTTTCGTTGCTGATCAATGCAAAGCGGGCGAGGAAAGTGGGCTGTGGTGGGGCAAATCTTTGGGGTCGACAATCTGGCCAAAAGAAGCCGTACCCCAAAAAACAGTCGAGGAGTTCCAAAACTACATCGAGGAAAGAGAAAGGAGTAACTTAGAAAAGTCAAGTCATTTAAAATGATCTGGAACAATAGAAACGTAAGCCGGAACAAGAAATCGTCTTTCAGCAGCTGGATGACTTTGATTTCATTCCTCCAGTCCCCGCCGATAGGAAGCCTGGTCCGGCTTTTTCTGCCCGCGGGTGACGGCCTGCATGGGTCTCTTCCACTTGGCCTCAGATCCCAAGGCGGGGCCTCGCCAGCTGCCCCACGTCACTTTAGGCCCCACGCGCTAACAGCGCTCCGGTATCGTAACACTCCACCCCCGGTACAAACATCCGTTCGGGGTGCATTCATACCCGGTCATGGATGATGGAGGAGAGCATGGATGTTGGAGAAAGCAGTCTGAAGGAGAAACACAGGCAATTTTACATACACAGGACGGTCACAACCCACACGGTAACAGTAATAGTAAAAGCAAAATTAATCATAAGCAATCTACTCGAGCGAAGGCTGAATATCTTGGCCAGAAGCTTCCAGCCATTCGCTGATAATTGCCCCATTAAGTTCTTTCGGTCCGTTGCAGTGGCCGCCGTGCCAGGCACCCGACGCTTGGGTGGCAGCAGCAGGGCGGCTTGGGCGCATGTGGACAAAGGGCAGGTGGCTCGAGATGACGGCTCCAATCCCCAATATCATTGGCCTTGGCTCGAGCCGGGCACGCGCAACTGGCGGGGCAATTGGTCAGGAAAGAGTGACCAAAGCCATGCTAGCAGCTTCACAGTCGCTTGGCGCGCACCCGGGGCCCTGGCTCGGCCTTAACAGTAACGCCACAGAGGTATCATCGACCGTCGGCTGTTAGCTCCTCATTCACCGCTAGCTCGCCTGTTTGGGGGCATTTTCGCCTCCCGTCAAATGCGAGTCGCCTGTCTGCCTGGCAACTTGTCATACCCCGGTCCTTACCACATCGAAGTACATCATACCCACCGGCCATGCGCCTGCAGCAGCCGCGAACTCCCGTCTCCTATCCGATTGCCTCAGGTCTGTGCGGTCGCTCATTGTTACGTATCTACCGGGGAGGTACCCCTACCCCCCTCCAACGCAGAAAGCTACTAAAGCCAGCAGCCCCTGCCAACCCGACCTGGGCTCCTTCTCTTTCGTTCTTGTCGACCCCAGACACCCACCCACCATACTGCAACAACCTCAAAATCCGGACAAGTTTGCGAGGAGGATATTTACGAACCGCCTGCATTTTTGAAGAGAAAACAGCGAGAGGTTTCGTATCGCTTGGAAAGCAGCATTTTGGGTGAGTTTTTGTCCTCCGCACCCTGCACCAACCAGCAGCGGCTGTCTCTGGCCACGCGTCTGTCTCCGCACATGCCGTCGTCATGGCCCAACACAGCCGCCGCACCTTCATCAAGTAGGCATCCTAAACGCATCAACAAACCATTAACCAAATCGCTGGTGCTTTTCTACAGCCGCCCGTCATCAAGATGGCGTCCGCTGCGCAAACCGATCTCAACACCCCGATTACTGTCAAGCTGACCCTTGACGGCCACCCCCGCCGCTTCAAGCTCGCACTTCGCGATGTGGGCATCGATGTGCTCGAGGAGAAGGTAAGTCTGGCTGCCCATCTCGGCCGGCCTTATATGCCATGTGATTGCAACGCAGACACTAACTGGTCGGACCATTTGCTAGGTGCGGACTGCACTGAATATGCCCTCCGACACTGAGGCCATCTTCGAGCGCTACTCCGACTCCGGTGGCGCTTACGTTCTGCTGGACCAAGCCAACGTGGCCGTTTACAAGCAGTTATACCGAGCTGCCAAAGCCAAGCACAAGTTGAAGCTCCGTGTCACAATCACGAGGCGCCCGTGGGAAGACGAAGAGGCGCAGGGCCCCAAGCCGGCATCAGTCACGGATGAACCGGAAGAGGAGAGCCACCCGACCGTCGAACCCGCCTATGCTGAGCGTGAGCCTGAGCAACCGACCACGTCTGATTTGATTCCCGCCGCCGCCGAACCTGAGAGTGAGCCCGAGCAACCGGCCACGTCTGACCCGATGCCTGCTGCCGCCGAACCTGAGAGTGAGCCCGAGCAACCGGCCACGTCGGATCAGATGCCCACTACCGCCGCCGCCGCCGACGCTGAGCGTGAACCCAAGCAACTGGCTCCAATCCCCCCCGCAGCCGCCGAACGTGATTTGGAACTCGCCGATACCACCGCAGCCAACACAGTCCAATTCGAGCACATATTACCGAACCGGTTCGATACCCCACCCCCGGCACCGCCATGCAACGTGGATTGCCCCGCGATCCATACCAACTACGCTGTCTGCTGCAACAGCTGCGATCAGACCATCCCGGATGCTCACTACCATTGCTCCACCTGCGACGACGGCGACTTTGACCTCTGCCAGACCTGTGTCAATCAGGGTGTCACATGCAAGGGAGCCAACCACTGGCTCATCAAGCGTTTTGTTGTGAGCGGCGTCATCATCAACAGCACTACGGAACGTCTAGGCCCCAAGCCCAAGCCAAAGAAGATTAACACCCCCGGGATCGTACCCGCGGCAGAAAGGATCATCCCGGTCTTTAACGACAACGTCTACTCCACCATGCGCACTTGCAACTGCTGCGTGCAGGAGTTGCCCGAGGCGGAGTTTGCCCACTGCACATCCTGCGAAGATTTCGATCTCTGCCGGTCTTGCTTCGCCAAGAACCGTCATGGCCACCACCCCAGGCATGCCTTCGTGCCGGCTGTCGAGGGTACCAGGTTTGACAACGAGATCGCCCGCCGCCTCCCTGCTGGTCGTGGCCAGGCCCACAACGCCATTTGCGACGGTTGTGACAAGGGCGTCCAAGGCGTTCGCCACAAGTGCTTGGAATGCCCTGACTGGGATTACTGCTCTGACTGCGTGGTGAACGCCGGCTTCATCCACCCCGGTCACCGCTTCGTCCCCATCTACGAACCGCTCGAGTACGATAGCGGTGTTCGCATCCGCACCATGAACCGGCCCGTTCACGTCGGTATCTGCTGCGATGGCCCTCTGTGCTCCTCCGCCCGCGTCAACTCTGCCTACATTGTGGGAGACCGCTTCAAGTGTGCCGTCTGCGACGACACCGATTTCTGCGCGTCGTGCGAAGCCAGCCCTGCCAACTCTCACAACCGCACTCACCCCCTCATCAAATTCAAGTCGCCTGTGCGCCACGTCAGCGTGACCACTACCGGCGAGAACCTGAATGGCCGGCAGATGCCGGTCATGGGCGACCGCCCCAGGGCTCGTTCGCCTGCCCCAAATGCCCAGGCCGTGAACACCAGCGTTCCGCCATCGGTCCACAAGTCCCTTGAAACTGCCGTGAATGAACCTGTCACCAAGGCAGAGACAAGCGCTTGTGCTCCCGAACCAGTGCCGAGCCCACCGAAGGACCGGTCTGAAGAGAAGCCAGTCTCCGTAAAGGACCTCGTTGCCACCTTCGTCCGGGATACCGTCCAAGATGGCACAGTTTTCGGCCTGGACCACGTTTTCGAACAAACCTGGGTCCTTCGCAACAGCGGGAACGTTGCCTGGCCGGCCGGCTGCTCCGTCAAGTTTGTTGGCGGAGACTACATGGGCCACCTTGACTCCAACCACCCCGCCGCCACCCGGGATGTCGAGTTTTCGTGCGAATCTACCATCTGCTACGCCCCCATTCAGCCCGGTGAAGAGTTCCCCTTCACCGTGCTCCTTAGAACCCCTTCGCGCACCGGCAGGATGGTGTCGAACTGGCGTTTGTCTACTCAGGACGGCGACAGGTTCGGTCATCGTCTTTGGTGCGACATTGTTGTTGAGAAGCCCAAGACGGTTACGGAGCCGCTCAGGATCGTGGAGTCTGACCCCAAGGGCAAAGCGGTCCTCAGGCATGAGCCCGAGGTCAAGCCTGAGGTCAAGCCTGAGCCGGAGGTCAAGCCTGAGCCGGAGGTCAAGCCTGAGCCGGAGGTCAAGCCTGAGCATAGCCAGATGATCTTCCCCAAGCTAGAGAAGGAATCGCCTGTCGCTAGCGTCCATGAGGGGTCTAAGGCCGAGTCGGTTTCCGCCCAAGAGGACGAGTACGAGGACTGCGAGGACAGCGAGTGGGTCGGGTCTGAGGACGCTTTCCTGACTGACGAGGAGGAGTACGACATCCTTGACGCCTCAGACGAGGAGTTCAACTTCAGCGGGGACCACTCCCCGAGGAAGTAACGGCGCACTACTCTTTCCCACTCAAAACGGCGTGGGTATTACATGGGTTATTTGGGGGACATACGGCTTCTTCTGGTTGGGTTTGCAATTTTTGGGGAAAGGGTCATGATCGTTTGCTTTATTTTTTTATCGGAGTCGTTCTCTCAGGATTCTCTACTCTTCCCGTAGGTGGCTTTCCAAAGCAGTACACGGGATCCTCGGGGCGAAGCTAGGGCACGAGCCGCGGTAAGCAGGTCGCCATCAAACAGCCTGCTCTTTATCCCCGGTTAAAACTCGGACATGCTCGGATCCCCCTAGCTCTGTTTTTCCCGACAGTCCTATTTGCCGGAGAGATAACGCGAGCCGGTGTTATTTACACATTTGCTCTCATTTACCATTTCCTTCCAGGTCTAGTTCCCGCAGTATGTACTGCTCAGATTGATGTCTGCTTTCACCTTAGCTAGGTTAGGGAAATACGAAATCTGGAATTACTTTAAGGTCGTGCAGTGCCCTATGTGATCTCTATGTAATGTTACGTTTATTGGAGCGCACTCAAAATAGATAATGCTTAACATGGCGTACTTGACGACTGTTGAGTTTGGCAAAGGTCTAAATAGAGATGGGATACTCGCGGGTACATGTGTAGCTAGTATGTGGTGGTAGATGGGTTGTTACATCTGCTGTGGTATAGCTAAGTCGTTCTAAACACCCATTAACAAACATACACAGCTCGTAGGTAGCTACCTATGTACCCAGGCCCAAAATTCCAATCAGACAGATAGCACCAGCCCAGCCAACTTCTCCCGTAGACAGACAACCTTCAACACTTGGGTCCAACACCCCCCCCCCTCTCCCCCTCTTCTTTCTTTCCCCACTCTCGCCACACAAGCCGAGATCATCAGTCAAAAGTAACCTTCTTTCCCTGGTGTGCCACCGGCGCGCCCGTCAGGCGAGCAACGCTGACATCGGCCTGGTACTTGATGGCCTTTTGCTGTTGCTGGTCCTTGCCGCCGCCGCCCTGCTCCCCGTTGCTGTCCCTATCCCGTCGCCCGGGCCCGCCTTGTTTGGGTTTGTTGTTATTGGGGGTGGTGTCGGATTGTTGTTGATCCTGTTGCTGGCGCCTGGCTGCGGTCGCGCCCTTGCCGAAGCGCTTGTGGTAGCGCGTCTGGTCGTCCTCGGCGAGCTCGATCTTGAGGTTGCGCCCGAGGAGCTGGTTGACCCACCACTTGCGGGTGCGGATGCGCGCGGGTTCTTTGGCGGGGGTGGGTTTTTGGGGCGCCTTCTTTTTGGGGGGGGACTCGTCGTTTGCGTCGCTGTCTGAGTCGTCTGAGTCGCTGCCGGATTTCTCGTCGGCGTCGTCGGATGGTTTGGTCTCAGCCTCGGCTTCCTCATCGTCGGCTGGCTTGGTATCCTCTTCGTGATCTACGTCCATAAAATCCTCTAGCGTTTCGACTGTCTCTCGCACCTTGACGAACCCCTTAACCGCCCACGCTGCAGCTTCCGCGTCCTCGAAGTTGACCCATCCGTATCCCTTGCATTTGCCAGAGTCTTCAAATGTAGCTACCTTGATCCAACGGATCTTGCCGCACTTTTCAAAGTGTGCGTACAGATCATCTTCGGTAGTGTTGAACGACATGTTGCCCACGAAAATCTTGGTGCTGGCGCCAGGGCCACCGGCTTTGGCGTCTGATGACCCAGCCCCCTTGGTCGTAGTCCCGTCTGCTGCGACGGCTGCGGGTTCCTCCTTCTTCGGCCGCCCCTCAAAGCTCTTACTATCCTTTATCAAAAGCTTGCGGCGGTACCATTCGGTTTCGGAGAGAGCGATGGCCGCGACGTTGGCGTCGAAGGTGGCAAAATCGACGTAGGCGAAACCGCGGTTCTCGGGGGCCTTCTTGGGGCCCGGTCCAGCGGTGGGCTTGGTGGTGGGCATGTGAACGCGGGTGATGGATTCTTCGGTGATGCTGCCGCCCGAGTTGTCGACGAGCCACTTGCGAAGCTCAGGCTTGGTGACGGTGAAACGCAGGTTGCCAATCCAGACGCCATAAGGGGAGCGCTCCTTTTTCTTCTTGCTGTCCTTGGCCCCGTCCGCTTTGCCTTCCTCGCCATCTTCTTCATCGTCACTCGTCGGTTTTACGGGCAATGTCTTGCCCTTCTTGAGCGCACGGCGTGCTTTTTTCGAGGGAGGCTCGGGGAGCGAGAGGTCGACTTGGATTTCGTCGAGGGTGGACTTCCGCTTCTTGGAGGAAGCGTCGGCCTTCTCCTCCTCAGAGACGATCTGTTCTGGTTCTTCCTTTGCCATTGTGTACGATGGATTCGGGGTGCGCTGTCTGGTCTGGTGAGAGCTTCTATGCCAATCAACCCCGAGATCCAATGGCAGGTTGCCCTCAACATCTTCGAAAATTTCCCGGTCGATAAGCGATAAGCTCTCTGCTTCCGTTTTTAGCGTACTTTCCAGCCCTGGAAGTTCCAGGCTCGGAATGCGGGGCAGCATCCCCAAAACCCACTCACCCACCACCTAAGTGCACTACCCGCCGCTGTGCACATCCATCTCCGAAGACAACCTGACTTTGGTGATTTCTGTCGGCCACTGGTAGCAGAGAATGCTGAATCACATGGGCAACTTAATTTACCAATAAAGAAGAAGAACTTGGTGTTGAGACTTCAAGTCCTACTTCCACTAACGCACATCTATGAAGATCTTTGGTCCTTACCCAGGGGTGGACTTAACGCACACCAGTTTCAATTACTTGTACTTTGGCACAATTGCGGAGTAATAGTAAGCTATGAATTGCGAAGCATGGAGAAATGGCCTAGGCAATTACGAAGCCCGACTTGCCTGGGTCTGGAACCCCCAAATTTATGTCTCTTGGTGGATAATAAACAGACGGCGCAGCCCACCCCATCCCATCTCACATCAGTCGCAATCAGACGACGGCTCGGTTCTGGAATCGGGGCAAACGAACAAGCTGACGTCGCTCCCACTTAGACGAGCTCGGCCTTGCAGCCCATGCTCACAATATGCTCAGATACAAAGCCTCCTTGCCACGCGGCAGTATCTGGGGCGACCTCGAAGAGTCGTATTCGATAATTGGCTACGGCTATCACGGCTTCGATGGTTCTGCTGTCACTCCAAGCGGCAACACAGTTCTGTGGAGGCAGGTCAGGTTAATACCCGAGCCAACGACCTTGAATGGGAGGCCGTTCGTTGCTTCGTACATACATACTTCGTACATACATCAGTCTTGGAAGCAAACGAACTGGATGGAGGACAGGAAATGGTCGCATCCCATAGCGGCAAAGTGACGGGTGCATGTGCCAGTGGACCGTGCGGTTATTTACCATTTACGGTTAGAGCTTTAAAGTGGAATTCCTGGCGCAGTTAGTTCGCAACCCTTGCATCCACAACAAAGGGCAAAACGAGCGGTGACTTTCGTTGCAGTTCCCACTTTCTTGCCTCTGCCTCTCGGCCACCCATCACGCCCTGACTGGCTGAGAGCTTGAACTGGGGTAGCCTGAATGGCTCGTTTGCGCCGCAGCACCTCCTCAATTTTCCCACCCCACAGGCCTTGTTGTCTCAACCTCTTCCATTTCACTCCAGGAATCGTTCTGCGAGCTCGTTGGTGACTAGTCATTTTGCGACGTTGCGCTGGGCGAACAATGAGCGTCCTTTTATCACTGCAACCCCCAACCTTTCCCCTTCATTGCGAAACCTCTCGGCTCCCACCGACGCTCCCTGGTAAGCTCATCCCTTCACACTCCCACCTCACCTCCGCCTTTCCCGGACGCCATCGGGCCCCGCGATACACCATGATTAGGAGCAGGAAGCGGCTATTCTCTGCAACACCGGAGCCTCGAGTCAAATTTATTGATCCCTTTGCAGTGCCGCAACACACGATGACGTCCCGGAAGCGGAAAGCCGACGACGACGGCGATGAGATGTCGCTCTCACCACTCAGCTCGCCGGCGATATCCTCACGGCAGCTCGCACGGCCCGCGAAGAAACCCCGAGGCGGCGCCGACCTGGCCGGGCGCCCGCTGTCGCTCCCCCGGCTGCTCGAGACCCTCGATAACACGCAATTGCGCGCAGTCCTCCACACCATCTGCCAGCAACATCCAGACATCGGCCGGGAGGTGGTGCTGGGCGCACCTCGACCGTCGGTGGCTTCGGCGCTTGAGGTTCTGGGTGATTACCAGGCGAAATTGCAGGCCGCGGTTCCTTTCGGCCAATCAAGCTCCGACTATACATACTTCCGAGTCAAACAACCGCTGGCCGCGCTTGTCGATGCCATCTCCGACTTCACCCCCCAATTCCTGCCCCCCGTCGAACAGCAGGCCAACGTCTCGCTACAATACCTCGATGCTGCGACAAAAGTCATACACGAACTACCTGATTGGGAGAGCCAACAATATCGGCATCACAAGGATAACGCATACGATGAGATATCGGGTGCATGGGCACTGGTGATTACCGAGGCGGCAAAGAGAGGAGGGGGATTTGTCTTGCACACGGGCGGCTGGGACCAGAGACTCGCCAGGCATAACCAGCAGTCGGGCGGGAAGATGGAACAAGCGATGGCCGCCATGGCGACCGAGGTCCCCTGGGCTGGCAACAATCCCAACGCTGCGCCAGCATCGGGGTTGTCGGACCCCAACTCGATCCTAAACCAGCTTATCAACGGGACCTACGGCTCGCCTGTCCGCGTCGGGCCATAGTGGGAAGCGGTGATCATGTGTGTGACTCGCTAGTTAATTACCATGTTTGGGCGCTAGCTAACATCACCGAGGACCTCACGACTATTTTTTTTTTCATCCCAGCACGGGGTATCAACCGGCACGGGGGATCAACCAGCACTGGACATCAACCAGCACGGGGCGTCAACTAGCACGGGACATCATGGAATGGGAGGCATAGACTTTTGGGGCTTGAGGGGGTTGGGCCAACGGCGTTTTTTATTTCCCTTCATACCTCTGATATCCATCGTTAGCTTTTCCTATGTACTGGTGGTCCTCTCCGTTCTGTCAGTTTCCCTTGTCGGTAACGGAGGGATCTTCGACTTGGTGGAGATGTGAGGTTTAGTTTTGTATCTCTGATTGCACACAGGTCGGTAGGTGGCCGTCTTGTTGTCGGGTGGAAGGTGGTTTGGGATTAGTGTGTTTCTCTGGGCTGTCTGATGCGATACATACAATTGAAGGCGTTTTGGCTTTTTCATGGTGGTTTTGGCGTGCCTCTCTCACCCAGCTTTCTTGCCCGCGCTTGACCCAGTTGGCTGACCGTCCGTCGACCCGTCGCTTACCCTTCCGGGCAATTCCTCGCATTCCAAACATCCAAGTTTACTCTCCCTGCGCGACCTGTTTCTGTACATACCTGCCTAGGTACCGACCAACCTCAACGATTCTGCGGTGTTTTAGCCGGCCCCGACACATGGGCAAATCGGCCTTCGCCGGTGCTGTGAGACCAAGACGCCCGGAGTCGCCGATTGGAGGCTATTGGTAACTTCTAACTTCGGTGGCAACGCGGTATCTTGACTAGGTATGTACATGTACCTACTTTTTAGACTTTGAGTCCTTAGCACACCAGCGTTTTATGGGGTGAGCGTCCCAAGGTTAAAGGGGAGGGGGGTAACTATTCACGTGACAGCCTGTGGTTGACGTGCCCCACTGCCACTGTCGCGTGTTGCGGGCTGCCGCGTGTCGCGCTCGCAACACGCGGTCACTAAAGCAGTCCCGCAGGCAACACAGGGAGATCCACTCTTGCATTGATCGAACTAATAAGCCTCGATGCCGGTGCTAATCTCTACTCATACTTCATTGCTTCCTTGCAAAGTTACATGAGAGAGGGCCTCTCTTACAATCCGTCACGATGCCCGCGTACGTTACAGTCAGGCTCTTCCACCGCGTTGCCGCTCGTTGATGCAGGCGAAGAGTCCACCCTCCGTTGATGTAAATGTAAAAGCTTACCCGTGTGCGAAACACAGCCCAGGCGACCAGCATACTTCCATCTCCAAACCATTCGAAGCGCCCCAGCAGCACATGTACGAGTACACTGCCCAAGAGATCGCTGCACTCCAGACCCAACTTGAAAAGCAGCTCGGCCCGGAGTTCTTGTCAGTGCGCCCGGGAAACGGCCAACAAAAGGTGCACTACCTTAGCGGCGATAAAGCCATCGCACTTGCCAACCAGGTTTTTGGCTTTAATGGATGGTCCTCGTCTATCATCAGCATCGAAACGGACTATCTCGAGGAGGATAAGCAGAGCAAACGGGCCAACATCGGCATAGCAGTTGTCGTGCGCATCACGCTGCGTGACGGAACGTATCATGAGGACGTGGGCTATGGGATCGTTGCGAACGGGCAGTCGAAGGGCAGCGCTTTTCAGAAGGCCAAAAAAGAGGCCACCACAGACGCGCTGAAAAGAGCGCTGCGACAATTCGGCAACGTGCTTGGAAACTGCCTCTATGACAAGGCGTATCTGACCAAGGTTGTCAAGATCAAGCCGCCGCAGCCAAAGTTTGACGAGGGTCGTCTACATCGGCATCCAGATTTTGTGGTCAAAAAGGAGCTACAGAGGGCCGAGCCCAAGGCGGAAAGGCCAACAATGGCCCCTGCGCAGCCACCGCCACCTCAACGTGAGCCCAGTTATGCCTGTGAAAAATACGTGGGCTAATCACGATGACAGTGCCGACTGCGGAGTCTTTCGAAGATTTTCTGGAGGGTAAGATTTCAACACAACTGTTGCTCTTGGCCACGATGAACTAACTCGCTTTTCAGAGTTGGATGAGGCGGACTTCAACATCGAGGACGACAGTAACCCAGACGAAATTGCTCTACCGGACTCGAGTGAGACGAAGTCTAACCAATCCAGCGGAACGAACGCGAGCAACAACCAACTGAAAAATGGAGGGAGCAACCCCATGCAACCACCGGCCAGACAGCTCTCAAGGATAAGTTCAGCAGGGAGCAACCCTCCGCGACAAGCACCACAAACCCCAGTTCAGCAAGCCGCGAAATCTAACCCCAACAACTTTGCTGGAGCAGGCGCCCGCGGACCTCCCGCCGCCGCTCGTCCACCTCAGCAATTCAACCAGGCCCGTCCCGCGCCCCCGCCCCAGCCCCAGCCCCAACCCCAGCCCAATAACGCCAACCAGAACCACCACCAAAATCCCAGCCGAAACCCCCAAACCCACATGACACCCCCACCGGCCGGCCACGCCGTGGTCAACATGGAACCCCCGGCGGGCGAAGCCAGCTTCTTATCCGCCCGTGCGATAAAGAGCGTCCCCGACAAAGCCATCGAAGCGGGCGAGTTTGACCGCAAGCCGGGACACGTCTTCAACCCACGTCTAGAGAGCCCCTCCATCCGGCGGACGCCAGGGGTAGACCACTCGGCGACCAAACCGGTGTCGAAAAGCGGCCGGCACGTGCCCGGGATAAAGACTGACGACGCAGAAGGGGATGGCATTGCCAGTGCTACCGGCATTGGCGGTGGTGGTGGCGGCGTGGGCGGTGGTCGGGGATTTGCCGCCGCACCCCGTCCTGGCCCCCCTGCCGGTCCTGGTGCTGGTGCGGGTGCTGGTTCTGGTCCTTCTGCTGCTGCTGCTGCTGCTGCTGCTGCTGCGGGCCCGAGAACGGGGAACATGTTCAACCCACAGCTGGACCAAGCCCGGCGGATCGGCGCCCCGGTGTCGTCTAGCCCGCTGGGCAACCGTGGCCAGTTCCGCCCGCCGACTATCAAGCGGCCTGCGGGGGGCGACGGGCCTGGTCATGGCGCTGTCGCCGGTGCGAATGGTGGTGGGCTGGGAAGGGTGCCGTTGGGGGATGTGAGTAATGCTCCTGGTGGTGGAGGAGGCATAAGTGGTGGTGGTGGGGGGGTGGTGAAGGGGCCGGATTTGAAGAGGCAGCGGACTTCTTGAGATGGTTCCTACCGCTCACTCCCACGTCTAGCGGGATTATAAGATGGGGGGCTTTTGGAGGAAAGTGATGGTGGGGACTAGGTGGCCGTCGTTGCTGCAGAATTTGTCCCCTAGCGAAGGCGTTTGTTGTTGTTGCTATGAGGCTCATACCTATTTACTACCCGGCTAACTACTTTGCTCTTGTTGGGGTCAAGAGGCATAGGTGTTGCTTTACAGGCGTTGTATGGCTCACAAAGGACTCGGTTGATCGAATTCAATTGACTGGGATGGGAAGGGGGTAGTTTATATACCTATGTTTCATGGTAGGTAGACTGACTGAATGCTCATGGTGTAGGTTTTGGTGGCACTTCATGAACTGGGTTGTGACAGGTATATTCTCTCTTTTGCTGCTGATCTTGCGAGTACTATTCTACCGACGTACACGAAGAAGAAAAGTGAATTTTCAGTTACAGGCACCGAACGTCGTGGCCAGTCCTACTTAGGACCTTGTCTGAGGTTGTTTATCCAGTCATTACACCCGCCTAGCGCGAACTTCTTCTTACCTTGATAGAGTATGATTGCCGACACTGCCATTCAAAGCTTCCCTGTTTCAAGAAGAGCATTGCCGCTTAACATTGCCCGAGCCGTGATAGGCTCAATGGCACCCACAAAGCCGACCCGCCTCCCCAGATTCCCCAGATTTTCGGTTCCGGGATCGGAGATCTGAGACCCTGGCTGCGATGCCCGAAACCCGATATTTTTTCCCCGTCGCCTTTGGTGAGTCCCGGTAGCAGCGACGTACTTGGCAACGGGGATAACAACCATGAGGCCAATTGATCTTGCCAGCCGGTCAGGCGTGGCCCTGAAGGTGCGTATTTATTCAAATACCCAATATCCTGTCTCTCTTGCACCAAAACCCCGCTAACAAAATGCATAGAGGGCCTTCCATGCGCAACAACTCCGCCGAGTCGCTAGCACGCGACCATACTCGAACGGGCCCCTGCTGCCCCCGACCTACGACAGGCTTTACAACAAGTACTCCGAGGTCCGCCGGGTACTGGGCACGCAGCGGCTCACCCTCGCCGAGAAGATCCTGTACAGCCACTTGGACAACGTCGAGGAGTCGCTGCTCTCCGGGAACACCAACAATGGCCGCGACGTCCGCGGCAACGCCAACCTCAAGCTGCGGCCCGACCGCGTCAACATGCAGGACGCCTCCGCCCAGATGGCCCTGCTGCAGTTCATGTCATGCAACCTGCCGCAGACCGCCATCCCCGCGAGCATCCACTGCGACCACCTGATCGTCGGCGAGCGCGGCGCCGACGACGACCTCGCGGCCGGCGTCAAGATGAACCAGGAGGTGTTTGACTTCCTCGAGTCGGCTGCTAAGAAATATGGCATCGACTTCTGGCCCCCCGGAGCAGGCATCATCCACCAGACCGTGCTCGAGAACTACGCTCTTCCGGGTCTGATGATGCTGGGAACCGACAGTCATTCTCCCAACGCCGGTGGGCTCACAACCATTACCATCGGTGTGGGTGGTGCGGACGCTGTCGAAGCGCTCGTCGGTGCTCCCTGGGAGTTGAAGGCTCCTAAGATTCTGGGTGTCAAGTTGACCGGCCAGCTGAACGACTGGGTGTCCCCCAAGGATTTGATTCTCCATCTCGCTGGGCTGCTCACTGTGCGTGGAGGTACCGGTTATATTGTTGAGTACTTTGGGCCTGGTGTCGAGACGCTGAGCCTCACGGGCATGGCGACAGCCTGCAACATGGGGGCCGAGATTGGTGCGACCACATCCATCTTCCCCTACACCGAAGCGTCGAGCCGCTACTTGAAGGCAACCCGGAGGGAACAGGCCAGCAAAAATGCCGAGATATTCCAGAACTTCCGCGGCGTCGGTGCCAGTGCTGGTGAGGACGCTCTCTTCAGGTTCAAGGCCGATGAGGGGGCACAGTACGACCAACTCATCGAGATCGACCTCTCCAAGCTCGAGCCCCACATCAACGGCCCCTTCACCCCGGATCTCGCCACGCCGCTGTCCCTGTTCAAAAAGACGGTTCAGGAAGAACAGTGGCCCGAGAAGCTGTCTGCCGGTCTGATCGGCAGCTGTACCAACAGCTCGTACGAGGACATGACGCGCGTCGAGAGTATTGTGCGCGAGGCTGAGAAGGCCGGCCTCAAACCCAAGGCGGATTTCTACATCACCCCAGGTAGCGAGCAGATCCGGGCGACTCTCGAGAGAGACGGCACGCTCGAAACCTTCACCGAAGCCGGCGGCATCCTCCTTTCCAACGCCTGCGGGCCGTGTATCGGCCAGTGGAAGCGCATTGACGGCGTGGAGAAGGGCACCACCAACGCCATCCTCACCTCGTACAACCGCAACTTCCGCGGCCGCAACGATGGCAACCCCGACACCATGAACTTCCTCGCCTCCCCCGAAATCGTGACCGCCATGGCCTACGCGGGATCCACCACCTTCAACCCCATGACCGACACCCTCACGACCCCCTCTGGCGCCGAATTCCGCTTCCCAGCCCCGCGCGGTCTCGAGGGCCCTCCCACCCCCTTCGAGCAAGGCAAAGAAGTCTTCGCCGTCGCCTCGCAACCCCCCAACCCCTCCGTCCAGGTCGCCGTCTCCCCCACTTCGGAACGCCTCGCCCTGCTCGAGCCCTTTGACGCCTTCCCCGAATCCGACCTCACCGGGCTGCGCGTCCTCGTCAAAGTCACCGGTAAATGCACCACCGACACCATCTCGGCCGCGGGGCCGTGGCTCAAGTACAAGGGCCACCTGGCCAACATCAGCGCCAACACTCTCAACACGGCCGTCAACGCCGAGACGGGCGAGGTCAACGCCGCGTACGACCTCGACGGCTCCCGCACCACCATTCCCGACCTCGCCCTGCGCTGGAAGCAGCGCGGCCAGCCCTGGCTTGTCGTCGCCGAGCACAACTACGGCGAAGGGTCCGCTCGCGAACACGCCGCGCTCCAGCCCCGCTACCTCGGCGCCCGCGTCATTGTCTGCAAGAGCTTTGCGCGCATCCACGAGACGAACCTCAAGAAGCAGGGCGTCGTGCCGCTGACGTTTGTGGAGCAAGCGGATTATGAGAAGATCGGGGCTGGTGATGAGGTCGCGACCGTGGGGCTGTATGACATGTTGAGGAATGGCGGGCGCGGGGAGGTGAGCTTGAGGGTGACGAAGAAGGAGGGCGGCGAGGTGTTTGATGTGCCGGTGCGTCATGCGGTCAGTGAGGACCAGGCCAAGTTTATTCTGGCGGGGAGTGCGCTGAATTTGTTGGCGAAGGGGGGGCTTTGAAGTGGTAGTAGGAAGGCGGAGGAAGTGTAGAAGAGTTGTGTCAAATAGGTAGATTAAGACTGGGCGGTATACCCTGATGCTGCTGTCGTGGATGGTGGATGGTGGGAAAAATGGTTGGAATATGTAAAGAGCTTTTGTTTCCTGCTGTATTACTGATGCGCTGTCCATTGAATGATATAACATGGGTTTTATTGAAGCTCATTTCCCACCCAACTTTTGCTTTGGAAATGCGTGCATGGATTGCTGCTGGATGCCACAGCATACCTTGATTGGGAGTTTCCAGTGCTGATGGAAATCTCGTGGCAGTCGACAATATAAACCCTCCTCTTCCCTGAAGTAGTTATAATTTATATCCAATGGTATAGACATAATATAATCGCATTGGGTCGGTAGACTCACCAAATGTTCCCTGTTTAACGTTCATGAGCGGCACTGGTGGTGTTGCATTGTGACAGGGGCTCGGACAGCAACATTACCCATCGAAGCAGTTGAAGCATTTCGCTTCACTCCAACATCCAGCCATGCTAAATACAAAAAAATGATGGCCCAGTAAATTATCCTTCTTGTCGGTCTAAGAGCTCTCTTTGAGCACCGACGAGGATCAGCCCCGCGGAGGCCGATATGATAAATACGACCGAATTCTAACTCTCCGAGTCTAAACCCGTATGTTCTCTGTAATAGATGCTGTCCGCTCATTGAAGCCACGGCCTACTTGTCCTCCATTCCACTTCGCGCACACCATGCATCCTCTTATACGCCGCCGTGACCTCCGAAAATCCCACCCCCTCCAGCCTTCTCTCAACACGCAACGGGATACTCGGTACTCCCCGTTGCGCTCAGCCGTGACCCGCACCGGGCCCTCGCCGCCAGGTCCCCTAGTACGCACACGTTCCACACCCAAGACACCGCAACTCGCAAACTTGGTCCGCACCCACTCCAACGGCACATACCCGGCCATCTGCCAGTCGACCACGACAATCCGGTCCCCGTCGACGATGATGTTGGTCGGTCCGAGGTCGTTGTGCGCCAGCACAAACACCGAGCAATCCATCCCCAACGCCTCGCAGTCTCGCACTGCTGTTGGACGGCCTCGACACTGCCGTTGCGCGTCTCTTGCAGTGGGTTCATCCAGTTGCTGTCTGAGGCGGTCCTGGTGTTGGAGTTAAAGACCCTGATGTCGGCGCAAATTTGCGAGATGCGAGCAACCACGTACTCCTTTCCTCTTTCCGTCATATCCCATCACGCCTCGTTGAGGCGCTGGCCGGGTATGAAGGGCTTAACCAGGTAGGTTTTGCCCGCGTCTTCCACGTAGAAATGGACGGTATGAATGTCAAAACTGAGATGTTGTTGCTGTTTGGCGAGGGACGCCAGGGTTTCGGGTTCCCGCCGGGTCTCATCGGTGGCGAGCCGGATTTTGATGACGATCTCGTCGCCGAAGCTGAACACGGCCGACACGTCGCCCGCGTCATGGATCTGGCGGTCGTGTCCATCAGGGTCCCAGGGCCGAGCGGGCCGGCAACAGGCTGGGGAACTGGGGCCTCGGAAAGCGTGGAATACGACCCGTCGCCTGGGTTCTCCCAGAGGCAAACCCCCTCTCGCGGCTCTTGAGAGCGCCGGAGAATGTGCTTGCTTCCGATGAGCCATGAGTTGGCGTCGATCTGCTTGACTGGGTCTCTCACAGAGATAGGCGGTGTCATATCGGTTGATAGTGAAGGGAGCAGGCAGGGGAGATGTGGTGGACGGCAATCAACAAGTTGAGGTTCAGGTGAGAGACGAGATTGATTCAATTGGTTGGGGATCGCCGCCGTTAGTTGAGTGATTTCTGATCACCAACAGATAAACACATCAAAACCAAAATTGAAATTTAGCACACGACGCCATATTCACGGCCCCAGGTGGCATTGAGATCATATTATTCGAGCTTGTCTTGGTGAAAAGTGTAGTCCAAGTCTGCAAAGCACAGATGTATTCATGCCAACGAGCTATGTATCAGTTACAGCAATCGGGCCCCGCGGGTTGATGATGTTCCCATCATACAACAATACCCGATGGTGTTGGCTCGGTTAAGTTCTAGTCGATTAACTCCCTGCAAGACTTTGCTTGGCCCTTCGTTCTTGCGAAGCGGAACTAAAGTCGAATTAGGTTCTTTGATGTATTCCGTAAGATTGGCGACACGAAGTCGACTCGGAATGTTGCTTTTCTTGGATATAATCATCGAGTTGGAGTTGACTACCTAGGTAGGCTAACCGGTTCTTTTGTTCTATGTAGTTATTAGTAGTTCATACAATGCTGATACCATAGTGATTTTATTATCGGAAGGAAGTACTAGGGTTTTTAATAACTACAAATTCTTTAATTTCTCTCACTACGTAGCAAGGTTCCCCAGTTCGGCACAGGATTTTGACTTGTAAAGCAAACCACGCATCGCTTTTGGGTTCTGTCTCTTCTCGACATGTACATACTTTTTGGGTGCCAGATAAATCTTGGCGGCAGGCTAACTAATCTGCGTCAATATACCACAAAAACGAAAAAAATAAGTACAGATAAATTTCTTCTCTCTTGCTTCTTTCGCCTAGGCAAGCCACTCACCGTGCCATTATTGTATGTACGTAACCGGGGCTATACGAATATTTGCGAGGTCATTGCCCTCGGTAGCCGACCCCACCCCAGAAACACCTCCCGTTTGCATCTTCCATCCCACCACACCCGCCTAACTCCCCATATGTGTCAATAAAAACCCTATTTACTATTACTCCCAGCCGCAAGAAAGGCAAAACTGCTTTTGCCCCAGCGCCACACGCCAGTAATAAAAAAACAACCCCTTCGCCCTGAGCAAAATACTCAACAGCTAGCGGCAGCCGAGTAACAAAAAAATGGCTGCTCCCTCTCAAAGCAATGCGCCTTTACATGCAAGACCCACCACCACTGCACCGATCGCCTGCCTTGCCCTGTCCTGCTGCCTTACGCTACACGTTCCCGTCGAACTGCCTCATGGACTTCATTTGCGCGCCATTCAGCCCAGACACAATCACCAAGCCCGAATTGCCAACCCTCTTGCTCGTGACACAACCACCATTACTATTCCCATGTTTCCGCGTTTTCCTATCAGCCCCATTCCCGTACCCATTGGCCCCACCACCACCAGCCCAATCTTCATCCAGACCAGACGCAGAAGAAGCCGACCCCGCGCCGGTACCAGCACCAGCACCAGCACCAGCGCCAACCAGCGGCAGACCCCTCAACCGCTTCAGCACCCTCACCCACGCGGGGTTTTCGGCCATCTTTTCGGGCAGGGTCTCCTCGAAGGGGACTGCTCGCGCTTCGGCCTCGCGCTGCTGTCTCCGTAGCGACTGGGCGGCGCGGCCAAAGTTGGCCTTCCTGTTCCCGCGTGCCCGTATCTCAGCGAGCTTCGTGGCGTGCCAAGCCGCTGAGTGCTCCTGTGGCCAGTGGATGCGCGGGTCAATGTCTAGATACAGGGGCTCGTCCTGAGGTTGGCTTTGGGATGGGGTTTCTGTGGCCGTGCTAGTCGCGGATTGAGTTGGTGGTGGCGGCGGCGGGAGACTGGTGGGGGTTAGGTCTACTCCAGGAGGCGGCGAGGAGGCGTCTCGCTGGGTGTAGATGAGTGAGTCGAAACGGGCAGTGTCTATTTCCTTCGGTTTTGCGAATTGTAGGGGTTGGGTTTTGGTTATTGGGGCTGGCCGGATGGGGACATGTATCTTTCGAGCGGGTGGCTTCGAAGAGGTGATGCCGTTCGCTTGAAAGGACCCATAAGAGGTTTGGGCATCCAGCCTCTTCCCCTCGGGAGGTGTTTTATTAACCTTCCCGTTCGAGGGTTCCGAGGGCCACCGTGCCTTACCATCCAGCGATTCCGTGAGGGTAGTAGACGAAGCTGCGCTGCTCGTCTTCCTCCCAAAGTAGTCTTTCATCTCCCTGTCGGAAGACAATTCTGACACTTCGGAACTGCGTCGATGAGCATTCCCAGCAAACCCGTTCAGCCCGGAACTCGATTGCTCGGAGAGTACGCCCGAGGTAGCCTCGTCTGGCCCCCCGATAAATCGCAGATTAGAGACCTGGAGGGGTACCCTCTTCAAAGGAAGGTGCCTGAAGGCGGATTTCACCCCAGGCTTGGCCTCTTTCTCTCGCGCTTTACCTGCCTGGAAATGCAGGTTTGGTGCATGGCGACTAAACTGGGGGCTTCGGGCAGGCTCGAATGGTACCGCCCCATTCACTTTGGGTTTTGGCGAAAGTTTCTGTCGTTTCCTCCGGGGCTCTCCATCTTCAGGGGACCCAGGACTCTCCGGGGCCGAGTCGGCAGGGGGGCGAGGTGCTAAAGGCCGAGACGAAGGCGGAAAAATGTTGTGCTTCGGTGTTGGTTGTTGCGCGTTGAGTTGGGGCGGGTTCCCGGCGGTTTTGCGTCTCATGATTGGCCGGTCCTTGTCAGTTTCTGGCAACAGTTTTCTTGGATTTGTGGCTGACAGAGGCCGCAAAAGAGGATCTGAGGCGCCCGTTGGGGTCTGTGTCGCGCGGGTGCCATTTGTTTGGCCGGAATCCCAATTTTTGTCAGTTGGGGAGAGGAGCTGCAGATGCACCTCGCACAAAATCTGGCGGCTACCGTCGATTTTGGCGGCGCATCCCGTGAAGGAGCAGGGAACGATATTGAGCCCGGTCGAGTCATCATCAGACGTGTGACTTATAAAAGATGCGGTGGAATTGATACCAGTGGTTCTGGATGGCGACATCCTGACGCGACGAGAGCTATCGACGCCTGAAGATGCGGAGCTGGGAGAGGCGGCCCGCGATGACAACAACGAGTTGTCATGGTAAAGGCGGCGTCGCTTGGCTTGGCCTTCTTGGCCGGCAAGACAGCGCTTGCAGACCCAATCGATGCTATGGAATTCGGTCAATGGATAATTTATAGGGGTTTTAGACGATGATTCTTAATTGAAAAATCGTCTAGAGACCAAAAAGTGTTGTAATGAGGTAGGCGAGGCGAGGTAAGCGCAAGGCAGAGGGAATGAAATACGGCAGCGGGAAAATAGGCTACATGAAGGAGGGTGGGGGGGAATGTCGCTGCTCTGTATGGTTGGTGGCGGTCCAGCCGGCTCGACGTAACAGGGGATACAGGGGATGCAGGGGATAGAGGAGTTGGGCTGCGAGAAGTCTCGGACGCGGTTGTGGGGACTTGGGGGGGAAGGATCCATGGGAGGGTCGAAGGGAATACAAAATGCGGAGGGAGGATAGAGAAAAGCTTACAAGGACCCTTGTGGGAAGGGACGATGGCATGCAGAATGATAGCATCTGCCGCATTGGATGCACGTAAACAGCGGCTTGTCGAGTGCCGCTGGCTCTTTGCATCGTCTACAACGGGGCATTAGGAAGGTGGTCTTGAACAGCCTTGCGCCGCGTCCTGTGATTTGCAAGAGCCTGTTAGCGCCACTAGTCAGTTCAGCGTTCCAACCGAACGGTCGGGTTTGATTTTCAAAATCGTCACTGAAATCAAAATACTGGGCGTGTCTCAGGTCTTTTCAGTCATTGTCGGTCGTCATCCAGCGTAGCTGCAACGGTTTCGTGGTCCTGGGGCGACAGGCGACGGGAACTAGTCGCAAGGTCGAGGCTGGTTGCCTCTCCTTGCTCCTTGTCTACCACAGCCTTTGGGTCCGGCTTTGTGAAATCAATGAAAGCCAAACTCCGGGAAGTAGCAGCGTTTTCGACAAAAGTCTCAAACGTATTTTGATATGCCCGACCGCCATATACCCCATGCTACCGGCTGTCTTGAGGCAGCGTGTGGAAGCTGAGACTGGCGGCCGGGCGCGCCAAGACGCAACAGCCGTGTCGCCCGGAACCACAAAACCAGAAGAGCGCGAGGCTGTCGGACCTTTTACCAGTTTGCTCATCATTGACACCGTGCTTAGAGTAAGGGAATTGGAAATAATAATAGGAATGCGTACCTATGAGATGGGGATGATGGGGGAACACGAATCCCAAAGCCGACGTAGTTAGGCTATCAGCTCCTCGCTGCAGCCGCCCTTCGCTCGCCAGCCTTCAATCATCCATCCACCTACCGACCATGAGCGTGCGACTTCAAGCAAATGTAACCATATGGTGATTTTGCTGAAGCCACCACGAGCGCCTTTTTGTCGGCCCAAATGCAACGCAAATTGAGGTTCCTGGGTTGATCGTTGTGTGACGAATGGAGTTTGTACCCGGGCCAACAATTTCTCATTTTCTACCCGGAGGGGGAAGGGACAACAACACAGAGGCGGACCATTGCAGCCGAACTGTAGTGGCCCGTGCGCCAAGACAAGCTTTCTGAAGTGGCAGAAAGAATCACCGCCTACTGTACTTGACCTAGCGTGCCAAGAAAACTTAGAAATGACCCGCGATAACAGGTTGCGGGTTTGCGATAGCCTCCTTTTCGCGATTTCCCCTCGATAAGCGACGAGCCGACAACGACGGCGACCACGAAGCGCCTCTCCCAAGACCTCGAACACGGACCTCGACTATACGCCCCCCCACGATGGACTTTCTCAAGTCGGCTGTTGCCTCGGCGATGGCCAAGGGGCCGCCGTTCCCTTACAATTTTGGCGACAAAGTCGATCTCGACCCCTCCATCTGGACTCTTCACAACGGTACACGACGGGTATGCACTCGACCATGGCTACTCCGCCCGGGAGAGACATAGAGGACCGCTTGGCTGACTCTGGGTTGTAGGAAGACGGCTCGAATTGCAGCATCTTCTCGTTCGATATCACCACCAACCGTTCCGCCTTACCCCTTGCCAAGAACGCCCTGAAAAAGTTACGGACACTACGACACCCCGGCGTCATCAAGGTGCTAGACACAGTCGAGGTACGATGCGCATCCGGTAGCCGAGCATAGCCTAAGGCTGATAAATTTGAAAAAAAGACAGATTCATACATCTACATCGCAACAGAGCGCCTAGTACCTCTACGGTGGCATGTCAAGAGGAAGAGTCTCAGCCCCGAAACGGCGAAATGGGGTCTCTACAGCATCGCGGTGCGTCCAGTGGAACTCTATGGGATATTGAAAACCCCGGGCTTAGGCTAACGAGGAGGACAGAGAACAATCAAATTTATCAACGATGAGGCAGCGTCCGTTCATGGTAGTCTCAAAGTTGCCTCAGTCTATACGACTGAGAGCGGCGAGTGGAAGCTCGGTGGTTTTGAGGTACTCAGTAACGTCAAGGACGACGAGGCTGTAGTATATGTAGGACTCCGCCGCCCTGTATACGCCGCCAGCAAGGCTGATCATTAACCGAATATAGACCTACGGCAGTCTCGTGCCGGACTCGGGACGGTATACGCCGCCTGAACTAGCAAAGTCGGGATGGGATGCCATTAAAAAAGGTCCCCACTCGGCTGTCGACGCTTACGAGTTTGCCGCCTTGATCTTCGAGGTCTTTAACGGCACTTTCAACGGCAGCGATCAGGCGGGCCAAACCAAGAATGTCCCACCCAGTATGCAGTCGAGCTATAAACGTTTAACCAACGCCAACCCTCAAGGCGAGGCTTAGCGTTGCCCACTTCCTGGAGCAAGGCCGTCGCAACGGCTCATTCTTCGATTCGCCACTCATCAAACTTACTGACGGAATCGAAAACTTGGGTGTCAAGAGTGAGGAGGAACGGGAATCCCTTCCTAGAGTGAGTGTTTGATTTTTACTTCGCTGTTTTCGGATGTTGTATGTTGACGAATTCAGGGACTTGGAGCAACTTACAGACGACTTCCCCGAGGACTTCTTCAAGATGAAGGTGCTTCCCGAACTGCTAAAATCAGTAGAGTTCGGCGGCGGTGGCCCAAAGGCATTTGGAGTAGTCATGAAGATTGCCACCAAGCTGTCGAGTGAAGACTTTGAGGCAAAGATCACCCCCGTCTTGATTCGGCTGTTTGGCAACCCCGACAGGGCCATCAGAGTGTGCTTGTTAGACAACCTCCCCCTGATGATTGATCGCCTATCTCAAAGAATTGTCAACGATAAGATATTTCCTCAGATAGTGAGTTGGACCCTTCAGATCTGCCTGTTTCGTGCGGTAAGATACTTATCCGAGTCTAGGTTACCGGGTTCACGGATATTGCACCCGTTGTACGAGAGCAGACTTTGAAGTCTGTACTCACGCTCATTACCAAGCTCTCGGATCGGACCATCAATGGTGAGCTGCTGAGATATTTGGCCAAAACCGCCAACGACGAGCAGCCTGGCATCCGCACCAACACAACAATCTGTCTCGGCAAAATTGCCAAGTACCTTGGGACCTCCTCGAGGGGCAAGGTCCTAATCGCCGCATTCACGAGATCCCTTAGAGACCCTTTCGTCCACGCCCGAAATGCGTCGCTCATGGCGCTCGCCGTGACATCAGACTGCTTCTCCGATGAGGACTGCGCGGTCCGCATCGTGCCCGCCGTTTGTCCCTCGCTTATTGACAAAGAAAAGGTCATCCGCGACCAAGCGAGCAAAACCATCGACGTCTACTTGGCCAAGATCAAGAAAGCAGCGGCGGGCATGCCCGACTCCGTCCTCCCGCCCGAAAGCGCCGTGTCTGCCGCGGGCGGACCCAGGATGAGCACCCCCCAACCGGCCGAGTCAGCGGCAGCCTCCTGGGCGGGCTGGGCCATCTCCTCCTTCACGAACAAGCTATCCACCGCGGCAGGCGAGATTCAATCTTCCTCCACCCCCGTCAACGGCTCGGCGGCGGCGGCTCCCCCACAACGCCCCGCGACGACTTCCCAAACCCCCTCCACATCCTCTGCCTCCAACCTCCACCGCCAGGCCCTCAAATCCCCCACCCCCTCCGCCTACAAAGACCCCTTCCACGACGACCCCGCCCTAAACAACAACAATAACGACGACAACGACTTCGACAACGATGACGCGGCTGACGCATGGGGCGACATGGACGACATGGCCGATGAAGACAACGACAATGACGGTGCGGCGGGCTACTTCGCCGAAGCCAACAACAAACCCACCAAAACCACCACCACAACAACCACCACAACAACCACCCTCCCCAAACGAGACCCCAAGCCCACCAGCGCGAGCGCCAGCGCCACACCATTTGACGACGGGTCCGAGCCAGATTTCGCCGGGTGGCTAGCGGCGCAGGCACAAAAGAAGACCGGGGCGAAGGGGCTGCCCAAGGGGCTGGCCAAGACTGGCGGGACAGCGAAAAAGACGACAGTTGCGGCGAAGCCGAAGGCCGCGGCGCCGGCGAAGAAGATTGATATGAAGCCGAAGCAGACGGATGAGGATGACGGGTGGGGTGGGTGGTAGGTGGGTGGGTAGATAGGTAGGCGGATCGTGTTTTGAAGGCGATGGGTTGGTCTTGCTTGTTGTGGGTTTGTGGGGGCTTTGGGAAGAGAATATATCCCTGGCCGAGGTAGATAGGGGGTTGATGATATTTTGGGAGGGGAGGGGTAATGGTGGAGGAAAGTTGGATTTACAACGGCACGCATGGCGTTTGGCGCGACTGATTAGGTATAGAAGTGTTGTGTAGCCGGCTATTGAGCTATTGGAGATTTGTGAAATGAGATTAAATATCCCTCTCCTGAAGTTGACGGCAACCATGGAGCATAACTAGAGGAGAAAAACTACCTGAACCAAGTCATCGTCCATGAATAAATAACATCAAAAGAGTATAAAACCATTTGCATCGGCGGCTGGTGCCATGCAACAACCCATCTACAAATCATCCTAGCTGGCGATTTCCCACAACAGGGACATACCACCAATTCGCCCACAAAAGATACCGCTGAACATAGGGCTAAAACACATCTATTTAGATTACTGGCCACTGCTCCCACAGCGGCTTCGGGAGCGGGAAGGGCAGCGGGGCTGAGAGTGCGACTGGGGCCAGCCGGACCGGGGATAGAGGGGGGTCGGCCCTATGGTTTATGCCCATGGCCCACGCGTGCTCATAAGACAAGAGTGGAGCTGCGGCTGCGGGGGGAAGTCGCGGGGAAACCAGCATCCCCGATTCGTTCGGCTGTTGTTGAGCTGGGGGTCTGGTGGCAGGGCGGCGCTGCTGCGAGGCTCTGCGCACTGGGGCCCTGCGTTGCTGGCGTTGCTGGCGCGGTTGTGGTTGCTGCCGGCGTTGGAGCGCGTGGCGCTTCTGAGCTTGAGGCTGCTGCCCGGGGCCCATGCGGAATTGGGCGTTTTGGGCGCTGCTCTCGGTCTCGGACGTCTCGTCGGTCTCAAAATCGGCATCATCCTCGGACGGATCCTAGCGGGTCTCGGAATAGTCGTTGAGCGCGACGCAGACGGCGCCACGGTGGTGGCCGTTATACTGGCGGATGATCTGCTGCGTGTGTAGCTCCCACAGGCGCGCATAGTGATCGCTACAGGCCGTGACGAGGTAGGCGCTATCGGCGCTGAAGGCACAGTCCCAAACCCACCGTTGGTGGCCCGTCAGGGTGGCTTCGAGTGGAAAGGCGCGCGGCTCGGCGTTGGGGCCAGCCGGCTCCATCTCCTTGACCTCCCAGATTTTGGCGGTATGGTCGGCACTGCAAGTAGCCAGCTTCTTGACGTCGGGCGAAAGGAGGATACGGGTGATGTACTCCTTGTGTGCCGAGAAGTGAGTCATCGGGACAAGTTGGGTGCGCTCGAAAGCTTGGACAAGTTGCCAGACGAAAACATTACCCTTAGTCGGTCAGCTCGCGTAGCACATGGGGAAATAGGCAATCAGTCCATACCGCGTTGTTGGCCGCGCAGAGTAGAGTGCCGTCAGTCGCAACCGTGACACTCGACACAGAGACCTCTTCCTCGGGAATGAGTTGGTGGGCGCAGGTGTTCTCAGCCAAATCCCAGAGCCGAATGCTGCCGCTCCTATCGCAGCTGATAATCTCGCCCTGGTTCGGATGGATAACTACATCATTGACAGGGGATCCATGATCGTAGCTTCGCTGGATCACGCCGGTGCGAGTATCCCAGATCTTGACGGTGCCGTCCTCAGAGCTCGTGACCATCCATTTGCCATCGCAGTGAAATGCCACGCCTGTGATGTTGCCTGTGTGGCCCTCAAAGACAGAGGTGGGAGCGGGGTTCGTGGAGCGAACGTCGAACAGCTTTACTGTGTGGTTGCCGGCAGCCGCGAGGTGGCGCTTGTCGGGGGAGATACACAGTCGGTTGACCTGGGAATCGGGATGCTGAATGGTTCGGGAGCAGATTCCGGAGAGGGCCTCCCAGAACCTAGGAAAAGTGTTAGCAAAACTGCTGCCATTGATGAAATCACTTAAGGGTTTGGTTCGGGGCACGAGGTAATAGCATGGGCGTACCTAATGGTGTGGTCGTAACCAGCTATTTCGATGCATCAGCAATCCGCATTCCAGGTTTCTCGTGGGTCATAACAATTGCCATTAGGTAGATTTATAGGTTTGTCTTACCTGTGCAGAGGATGACCGACATTTTGGTGACAGCTACAAACCCATCGCTGGTTCCGTGGGCATTGAAAGAGTGAATTTTAAAGAAGCTAAGTTCAGTCGTGCACTGCCGATGTTATCACGTCGAGTGCTGGGCTGAGTCCGCCTTCGGAAAGTTCGCGACGTCCGGAGCCTTGACTTAGCGGGGCCAAATCCCCTGCCCATGCCCTGCATAGGAGGGCTTGGCAATTGAGCTGCTGTGGGGTTCTCGACCTTCTCCCAATTTGGGGCTTATTTCACCCATGGAACTCAGGCCATCCTAGGAAGCTTTGACTTGATCAAGATATTTCCTGCATCGAATGCTGGGCCATTTGAATTTTGGTCCATGCATTTTTTAAGTTATCAAACCCCTCCACTATTTTTCACTCTTTTATTTCATCCCAATTTTCGGGATCTTTCCTCATTTCAACGAGGTCTCAAGCCAGGCGAATGCTCATTTCTCCATGCCTGCTACCCACCCCAGGGAGGTAGCTATGGAAGGTAGGGAGGTAGCCTCTACTCAACTTCCATCGCACCTATTGGATCCATTTCGTGTTTCTCCTAAACTGGATCTTTCGCCTCTATTTTAAACCAACCCAAGTCGTTTCACCAACCTGCGAATACCCTTTTGGTGAGGAACATGGCGCTATGTTCGAGACTCGAACGTTGCATTCTCCTCGACCAGTGGTCGCCGGAATGAGCAAGTTGCATTTGTTGTGGAAATTGAGGCCATCACACTCCTCAGCTCTCACATTTCCCCCCCTAGTCAGCACACCAAAATGGGCTATGGCGTCCAATCGGCTTCGGCATACAGGCTCCGGCCTGTGGCCTGCTGATGCTGTGTCTCCCCCCGGTGGCCCTTCCGGGTGCCGATATCACTACGCAAGCCAGCATATTGGGGTTCAACATCTTGTTTCAGGGGATCCCGAATAGATCAGATCGCTTATGCTAGATTTAAGCTTGTGGTGGCCGCCGTTAAAAGTCCACGCAGGTCGATCGGGCCGCTGCAAGATCGGCCATGTTCGATCAAGCAATGTGACGACACAGTTCAGCCGCAAGGCGTGGAGCGGCAGCCATGTTCCTTCACTTACACAGGGTCCAGTGAGCTTTGTGATGCTGCGGTTTTCTATTTTCAGTCTCTACAAAGTAGCCTGCCCCCGGAATGAGAGCAACTCGAACATGCATATTTCGTAAGGAGGTAAATCTTTCAAACCGTGGACAACAACTAGCCCCGACTTCAACTCCCTGACCCCAGCGGGCTATTTGTCTGTATTCAATATCTCCAGCACTATAAATGAGCTGAAAATCACCTTTATGGGGTTCCCGTCGCTCATGGGTATACCAGGGCGAATCAGTACATGGGATCAATAACATCTCGGA